CAACGGTACGGTTTTAGTAGCGGACAGACTGTCAGTCGGTCAACTGAGGGGGGCTTTTCGGAAATACAGACAGTCCTTCGACTTGTTCATCAGTTCAGACAGACTGAAAAGGGGAGCTGGACTTCGCAGGTCATATATTTTCTTATATATATTCTCTCTATATTCTTCTTATATATATTCTCTCTAGATCTATATTTATTATGCACTGCAAAAAATGCATTCTTCAAGCACACTTAAAGTATGCGTAAGGTTCCGTTTATTTCTTCCCTTGGGTGTACCTTTACGAATTCTTTAAGGTGTGCCTAAAGATTAGATGTCGTGCAGCGATGTATACGTACACACAGCAACTAAAAGGAACGAAAAGGTCTTGCGAAAATCTAACCTGTTGTAGCATCATCATGACAATGCCCAATGTAGTTATGGTTCATATGGTGGGAGATTTTGTCTTAACCTGTCGTTGTATCTGTTTCTTCAGTGCCACATCTAGGATATTCCGCACCGTCGGAAGTCCCTCCACAGGCCGCCTCACCGTTCTCATGGCCAGCACGTTCTGTGATCAGCTCTATCTGTACGGCTTCTACCCGTTCAAGCGGGATGAGAAGAAGAGACCCATACCTTACCACTACTACCCGGGTGACTCCGTCAAGCCGATCTTTCAGGCTGGAAAACACCACATGACTACTGAGTACAACTTGTACAAAGAGTTGCAGAAACGTGGTGTTTTGAAGCTACATGTTGGAAAATGTGACAAACAGTGAAAATGGTCAACAGTACATGTCTCTGGATCATTGTGTAACATACCTACTTTTTGGATAATCTATCTTATATGCCTACCAGTTGATAGTAAGACACTAGGTGTCATTTTTCGACCGAAAATACACTACTGAATTTCGTTTCAATAGGACATTGACTCATGGATAATACTCTCGGAACACGTTTTTTATCATATAAAGGAATGTAGGTCGTGAAGCAAGTTTAAATTGTAATATTCTGTCGTAGAATAAACACCTTCTGCACACAGGCAAACCTGTCTTTGGTGCTGAACATCTTCCACACACATGAAAATCAATTTGCAGTGTTAAGGGTAGCAAAACTAATTTCTCCAAT